CAAGCCAAAAATGAACTTGTTTTTCACTCATCCCTTCTCAATATCTCATGTGAGGATATTTTAAGACTAAATTGCAAGGCATGAAGCATGGGAGATGAGATTTCCAACTTACCATAACATGAGAATTTCAAGAAACTTCCACCACATTCTAGATGAATCTAGACACATCCAATGACCATTATAAAGAGAGTGCATCAGAAAGTGGTGAAGGTTGGTGATAGAGAGTCAAGTCAGAGGAGAAAGAGAGAGATACATTGCCATTGAAGAGGTTTCTTCAAGTTGAAGCAACTTGAGTTTTCTTCCACTACAAGCCATCTCCTTCACAACCATTGCAAACAGAAGACTGGTGATCATCCAAGGATCATCTAGAAGCAATTCCAAGGCTTGGATCGTGCTCTACATCACTCCACCATAACCTCTTGACAGGTTCCTTCTCCATCTTAATTCTCTTGAATTATTTGGTCTTGCTTAGTTTTAGAGGTATAGGAAGGTTGTACTAGGCTAGATGATTAAACCCTGAGAGTTACAGCCTGTTCCATGAGGTTCCATAGCAGGACCAAGAATCTTTGATTCTCAAGAAGTGTTTGAATTTGGAGTTTAAATCATCAAGAATTGGTTTAGCACGTTTAGGTTCACTTGTAGAAGCTCTGTAAATCATTAGACTGAAGTTTGGTGAAGGTCGATACCAGTTGATGTCAGATGAACATGGTTGTACCAAGATGTTTAAGCCTTCTGTTTGGATTATTCAGGAGGAATTAAGAAAATCTACTCGTACCATTTTATTCCTCTAATTGAGTAGATCATTTTTCATTTTTGAATCGTGTGAAACCATGGCCTGAGCAGAGAGATAGAGGAGCTCGAATCTTGGTGCATGGGAGGAGGGTTCTGAAAACCCTAAGTTTTGGTGGGGACGATGAAGGAGAGTCCTTGGATTCGTTCCAGATTTTGACTCATTATGTTGATCCAACGGCCGTGCGCGAGTCTGAGAGAAGAGAGGGAAATTTCAAATGAGTTGAAACGCGTCGTTTCATTAACCAGCGCTGTGGGCTTGGTTTCTATTCGCCCCCCCCCCCCCCTTTTATCTGGCCCAATTGGTTTAACTGGCGTGCCTTGCTATTCATACCCCCCCTCCCTTTAATTAATTTAATTTCTTTTATATTGTTTAATATTTTTTCTGTTTTGTTTAATTCATTAAAAAATGATAAAAAATGATTTTTGACTTCTTCTTTTTTCTCTGATTAGATGAAAATGTGTAGAAAATTATAAAAATAAAAATGGGATTTTATTTTTTAGTCTAGTATTTTTAATAGATTTTCCAAATAAATAGCTTTTAAATAGTCTTAATTTGGTATTTGATTTTGTAGGAATTGTTTTAGGACCTTCCCTTAGGGTTTTTAATCCATTCTTTTTTGTGCAATTAGATGATGAATCATAGTTCCCCATAGGATTTTTTCTAGAATTTTAGAATTAAATTTTGATTAGTTTAATTAGGGTAGATCTAGGGTATCCTAATTAGGGTTTAAATTGTGTTTAGGTGAAGAATCCCTTTCTTTGATTGAGTTTTGTCTTGATTTTTAGGTAGAGGCCTATGTAGATGTTGTGAGTAGGTGTTGAGGACCCTTGTGAATAATTGTTAGATTTTTCCCCAGTAGTTTAGTATTTTTAGGTATTTTCTGAAGTTGCCTATTGATTTTGTGTACCCTGTGGTTATCTGTTCACCTCTGGGGTTTGTTTTGGGGAATTGGCTGTGGGGCTTGTGTTGCCTTGAAGACCTTGATGGAGAGCATCATGAAGAGAAGATTGTAGATCAAGACCCAGAGACCCAGAGCTTGTCTTGTTCCCTGTCTGTGAGGTTTGAGATCCTGAAGTTTGAAGGAAGTTCATGGTACTTTCCTGAGGAAGGCACTATGAATGACTTTCATTCTTTCTTCTCACCTCTTTCTTAAGTATCCAATGATGTTGGAGCCAACTTGTGAGTTTAATTTCTCCTGAGGAGGAATGTAAACTGATCACATGTTGTTGAGCCACATGGGATACAACTCCTAAGTGGAAGTCTCCTAGTACTTTCCTGAGGAAGGTCCTATGAGTCTATTCACTTAGTCCCATTAGTTTATCTAGGATTTCTTAAGTATCCAATGATGTTGGAGCCAACTTGTGAGTTTAATTTCTCCTGAGGAGGAATGTAAACTTATCACAGTTGTTGAGCCACATAGGATACAACTCCTAAGTGGAAGCCTCCTAGTACTTTCCTGAGGAAGGTCCTATGAGTCTATTCACTTAGTTCCACTAGTTCAGATAGGACTTCCTAAATACCCAGTGATGTTGGAGCCTGCTTGTGAGTTTAATTCCTCCTGAGGAGGAATGTAAACTGATCACAGTGGTTGAGCCACATAGGGTATGACTCCTGAGTATACACCTCTTAGTGCTTTCCTGAGGAAGACACTATGAGTCTGCTTGCTTAGCTCCCTTTCTTTGGTAAGCTTGTTCTGAAGCTTGAAGACTGGGATTGATTTCTCTTGTTTAGAGCTTTAGTGCTTAGATTTGTTCAGATTCTGTGATTAAGGTTAGGATTAGAGCTTAGATATAGATGATTTCTTTCTCAAGCATGTGGTTTGTTTGCCTGATGGCACTTCATTTCTTTTATCTGATGTTGCTTGATAGCATGTTGATTATTTTCAGTATGATTGTTGTTATTTCATGACTGGCTTGAGGTCGAGATGAGCTTGTGGAGGCTGAAGCCCCACACACATTTCCTCCCTCACTTGCATTGCATGCATTTTACTGTTAAAGCTGATATTTTTGTCTGTGTTGATGTATCATTGACATGATCCCTTAGGACTCTCATTTCTTCTGATGAGGATTTGATGATAGGCTTTTAGGTTGAAACCTATGCATGACAACATCTAGGAGTTCCCTGTTCAAACCTCAACCATAGGATGAATCCATGGCATGACAACAGTAGGACTTGATAGTCTCCCTCCTAGTTGAGCCATTTTTCCCGTAGTTTCCCGAACTACGTTTGCTCTGATCTTTCATAACAGATGAAAGTACGTAGGCATAGGATGCGATATCCTAGCGAGCAACCTTCAACCTTTCCCCTCAATCCTTCGTAGGCCGAACTACGTTGACTCTGATTTCTCGTTCCAGACGGGAATACGTAGGCATAAAGTGCGACGCTTTCCCGAGTCATTTTTCTTTTCTTTTTCAGCCAGCCTTGATAGGTAGATAGATTATAACCAACCCGTCCAAGTAAACAAACAAGCGAGGATCCCGTCGAGTACGACGGACGTGAGGGGTGCTAATACCTTCCCCTTGCGTAACCGACTCCCGAACCCAGACAATGGTTGCGACGACCTTGTCTTACCCTTTATTCGTCAGGTTTTTCCGATCGTTTCCTTTCCCGCTCTGAGGGATAAATAACGAAAGGTGGCGACTCTTCTGTTTTGCCGGCACCTTATTTTCGCGCAAGCGACACATACAAGTCGTATATTCAACAACTTGATGTCAAAAATGATTTCCTAAATGGATTGTTTAATGAAAAGGTCTACATAGAGCAACACTGGGGTTTTGAAAGTTCTAATACCATTTTGGTGTGCAAGCTTAACAAGGCTCTCTATGGCCTCAAAGAAGAACTCAGGCAATGGTTTGAAATACTTCAAGTTGCCTTAATTCAACTTAGATTCAAGGCAAGAAAGTGTGACCCTTCCTTATTCACCTACCTCTCATAAGGAAGACCAATTTGTCTTTTTATTTATGTGGACGATATTATCTTCACCGGAAGCTCATCCTCTCTCTTGCAAGCCATCATTACCAAACTCAATGTGACTTTCTCAATTAATCATCTTGGTGACTTGGATTACTTCCTTGGCATTGAAGTAAAACATGTATCCTCTTATTATCTTCTCCTTACTCGATCAAAGTACATCATAGATCTTCTACAAAAGACAAATAGACTTGAGTCTAACCTTATGCACACACATATGCAGTCCACCTGTAAACTGGCCAAAACTAATTCTTCTGCTCTTGTTGATCCTCATTTGTATAAGTATGTTATGGGGGCCTTGCAAAATGCCACCTTAACAAGACTAGACATTACATACTATGTGAATAAGGTGTGCCAATTTATGGCTCATCCTTTTAAGTCTCATTGGATGGCTGTGACAAGAATTTTAAGATACCTCAAGGGCATCATTGGTCATGGACTTCGGTTCATTCCTCTCTAGAGTGCATCACCACCACCTATTCAAGTCTTATGTGATGTTGATTGGGCATCAGATCCTGATTAGAAGAAGTACATTTGGTACAACAATATACTTTGGTAATAACCTCATTTCCTGGTGGTCCAAAAATCAACTTGGTGTTAGGTCCAGCACTAAAGCTGAATATATGAGTCTTGCTTAAGCTATTGCTTAAGCTATTGTAGATCTCCTTTGGGTTTGCTGCAGTTATAAGTTTGAAGCATTCTCTCCATCAACGCATTAATAGTCATTGGATCGAGATTGGACAGTCCATATCTCAAGCTTGGTATTTAAGAATTCTTAAAATTAAAAACAAAATTACTTGCTTTCAACACCGCCTGATCTCAATCCAATTGATGTACTCAGACTGAATACGGATCCAAATCCTAATCCCAACTGGTTTGTATATATAGATTTTATGTAGCTACTGTATCCACTTTCTCCACTTTCATTCCTAATCCCAACTGATCATATTTTCTCCACTTTCTTTCCTAAGAATAAGGCATCATCATCATAATACAGCTTCAAACAAAAATTGATACCAGGACATTGTAAATGTATTCTTGTTGATTAATAATATATATAGAAGAGTCATATCACATGCAATATTTTTCATAATAACGGATATATATTACTTTACAATGATCATGTTAATAGCCAAAATGATAGAGAAGTTGAAGCTGATCCCCATTGACTGCTGAGGCAGAGACATTGATTGGATGCACCGTTCTCGTCAAAAGGAGACCTTTACTCATTAGTAAATCAAACTCTGATCCGTTTGACATCACTCTCTGGGACACTAAGATCGAGCCTATCTACAGATTGCAGTGACGCCTGCCAAATCATACAAATCAGTGTGACTCAACAATATATGTCTTTCATAATCTTAGCATAAAATGTGCATCTCTCATAACAAGTCAAATGACCGACTATACAGACAGTTCTCAAAAGTTGTTATCCCTTTCTTTCTATTTTACTTAAACTATGAGCAAAACTGTTCCTACCAACATATTTTCAATCACTCTTACATTAACTCTGGTATTAAGAAATAGTGTATGCTAAAACAAGATACTTACAGCTTCATCTGGTACAACTGCATATCTCTCAGCTAAGGAGGCAAAGGTTTTTCCTATTTAGTGAGACAAAAACAGTTAGCATAATGCAAAGTTGTTTAACAAAATAAGAAGGAAACTGAAATATATGAATCCAAATTACACTATCAAATAGCACTAGTATCAACCGTGGCCAAAAAATGTAAATAAGAAGGAAAATATTGTTGATGGGAAGAACAAAGCACCTGATAATTGATCGGTGTTTGAGGATTCTATGTGCTGCCCACAAGATCCATCAACACTCAAAGCCTCGATAATCTTTGGACTATTCCTACAAATCCAAAAACGACTCTATGAACCAAAGATATTAAAGAAATGCACCCAATACTTGAGTCTAACGCTACACTTCTAGCTAATGACTAAGATGGGCAATATAACTTTTTCTACTAAAATATATAGTCATAGTTGCCACAAAAATCAATTTTGTTACAAGGGCAAAAGGAGCATGGAGTTATCTTCCTGCGTCCATAATTGAACAGATATTATTTGACATAAGAGAATAGGGATCTAAGATGGTGCAACAAATTTTATGATATTAATCTTTATTGTAATAGCTAACTACATTATGAAAGCTAGTTTTTGCCTTCCAAACTCCAACGACAACTAAGCTTTCTCACCTTAGGAAGAGTAGGCTACAACCACTAAGAGTCTAACTACTCACTTCATGAGCAAAAGTACCACCTAGTACCTCAACCAAAAGAACTTTAACTATCAGCTTGACAGCAGTTGTCATTACCAAATCGATATCAGATTCATCCCAATTAATTAAAAGCTAGTTTAAACTCAACAAAGCAATTAATCTATTTCAATTAAAAGGTGTTGTTTGAAGCAGTTAGTTAGAATAACTATAAACCACCAGGAGTGAGCTGGTTCATGAAATTGGGCAGTTTAAAATTCATGGGGTTCAAACCTCTGTGCTGTCATGACCCAAAATAAAGTTAACGCAGAAAAAGTTAACGCCACTAAAAGATTAACTGTTTCACTTTTGAAACATATCTTTACAACCAAAATAAAAGGATGTCTCCAAAGTGAGTTCAGCAAAAATATGAAGGAAAGGGAACAAATCAATGAAGTAAAAGCCTTTTAGTCCAAAATATTTATTCAGTTTTATATGCAATTACCAGTCAATGGTATCACCGATCCCAAGTTGCCCATTTGTACCTCTTCCCCAAGAATATACGTTGTCTTTTTCGGTAACAGCAATAGTGTGTCTCCACCCACATGACATCTGAACAACTTTCTGTCAACCCAAACAAAAATTTGCACAAATATAAATCAAACAGTCGGTGATTATTTGAAGAAAATTTGACTTTCAAAGAAATTAACCAATTTCCAAACGGAAAAAATAAAGAGACAGAGTATAGAATTTCAGCTTTCAGGTACCTGATCATGGGGAAACTTCACTTGCACAGGAGAACAGCGATCAACATTGTCACCAACTCCAACTTGTCCAAACTAAAATCAAAGGAAAAATGGGTGAAGCGGTAATTTTCAAAGCGCATGATTATTTAGATATAGATTAAAGACTCAGGCCATCTTTTTAATTAAAGTAGTATATGTTTAGCTCTCTGCAAACACTATGTGCATTCTTTTACCAGTCACCGAATGTGATTAATCCTCTGTTTTGTCAGTAAATCAACAAATACTTCTTGTTACAACACAAACTTTCACATTATATGAGGGGCAAAAAAACACCGCCAACCTTATTCCAGCCCCATCCATAAAGAATTCCACCAGTCGTGAGTGCCATAGTATGCCTCCAACCACCTGCCACCTGAAAGAATTCAAGCAAAGTCCAGCAACAAAGTAAACACAACTATAATTAACCACTTTATCTAACACCAAATACATTGCAACAAGTTCGCAGATTCTAGATAGGACAAAATTTTTGTTGGGTCAATTTCAGTAAGTTTTTTACAACCAGCAGAAATCATATCCAATTTAAAAGGTGGGGAAAAAATCAAATAAGTGCTGCAGTGGCACATAACATATATGATTGAAAATAAGACCCACTGAACAAGCAGAGCGAAGGGAAATCCCAATGCATTCACATAATATGAGAAATTGCAAGCAAGGCACCAACTCTGGTTAAAATTAAAGGAGCACCTGACTAATTAACTTATCACTCAAGGCTTGAAGCTTGTGAGGCACAAGATGATCCTCGCAATCTCCATGTCCTAGTTGGCCATATTTGCTCCATCCATATGTGTATAGTTCACCAGACGATGAAACAGATATTGTATGCCGCCAGCCACAAGCAACCATGACCATCTTGTCACACTGCAACTTTTCACAAGCAAGACTTAGACAAGGAAGGAGTAAAATAAATATTTTTCATTCATCAGTATACATGCACATAATTATTCATGCATCTTAACATTTTCTAGACAAATTGACAGTTGTGAAAAAAGTTAATTTTTCATATGTTGCTTCTTCTACTAAATCAAACAATAGATGTCAAATCTTTAAAGTTGTAATTGATAAATCACATTCTAGGCTCTAGCCGAAAAGTCAAAACGATACCAGTCTATGAACATTAACATACATCATTAGAAGGAACTTTCTCTGGAATACAGCGATCATTTCTATCTCCCAGTCCCAAGTTTCCGTATCGGCCCCAACCCCATCCGTACAGCTCTCCATTTTCAGTGATGGCTACACTATGTTCAGCCCCAGCAGCAACCATTTTGATAGGTATTCCCTACAACATAAACATTTACATAAGTTTTATTTATTGTAGATAACCTTAATGAATGTCTCTGAAAATAGTACCTGAAATGTTTGAATCTTTTGTGGCACAAGCGAGTCATCCGTAGTGCCTAGTCCAAGCTGACCGTTTTGATTCCGCCCCCAACTACAATGAGTAGAGATCAAAAGAAAAAAGAAATACAAAGATTAGATTAAATGAGAATGAACTGACTGATTTCACGATGATGCAGATGACTTGTGTCTAGCACTTACAAATAACCGGCAGAAGACAGGCTTTATCCTCACAACAAAACAAGGATTTGAATATGCATTAAGACTTTTATAAATGGAATATTCAATTATTGATTAGATGCATGCACGTGTGCATGGAAGCAAACATAATCCATCAAGGGTGTATAAGTAATCTAAGTTACGAGAATATAACACGCGTTTGTTGCAAATATCAATTAGTGTTGATTCAAAGCAACCTCTTTCAGTTCCAGTATCAGATTCTCTTCAACCCTTCATTCAGTAAATGGAGAAGAAAATGAAAGGAAATTAAAAAGATTAGCACGCAGTACAAAATGGTTCTATGAGATTGCACTGTCAGTTTCTACATAAGCACTAAATGAAAAATAGTTAACTTTACTGGTACAGAAATAGAAAACATTAATTGATAATAAATAGTTAAAGCATAGACAGATAAAAACTCTATCAAAAACTACAAACCTCTGAACCTCGCCTTCCATGGTAACTGCCAAACAGTGGCTATCCCCGCAAACAAGTTGCTTTATCCTTAGTCCTTGCAATGCTCTAATAGGTTGAGGAATGAACAAGTCACTAGAATTACCATGACCCAACCGTCCAAAGTCACCCCTGGAAAAATCAGAACAAGATCTACTTAAAATTTAAGACTATTGATCTAAACACAATTTTTAATGTGAACAGTAGCATCATTAAAAATTACAATCCCAGAATAGGAACTCATTCAGCGGAATGAGTTTTCATACGATCTAATAAATCTCCATTCTCATTCTTCCATCCAAATTAAACTTCAGTTCATTTTGCACATGAATAAATTGTGGAATACAAAAGGACTATTAATGTAGCAATAATGATGTAAAAAAAGCATCAACCCTTGCATTAAGAGAATTAGGCGTGAGTGCAAATATGTGTTAAGAAAGAAATTTATTTTAGGACTAAACCCTCTCTCTCAAATAGGGAAATACCTAAAACACACCATCTAATGAACTGATAATTTTAGAGAAATCAAGCATAACAAAAACACTAAGTAAATAAGCTGAATCTAATACAGCAATATTACATTAAAGAATCAACAAACAATTATAAATTTGTGAGTAAAGAATCAAATTTCAGTTACAAATATGCCACATAAGTGACAGAAAACACAAACAGAAAAGATGCATTTTCCATTTGCCACTAAAGTGAAGTTTAAAGAAACACAGTAGAAAAGATAGAATATGCATACCATCCCCAACTATATACTTCAACACGTGAGTCAGAATAAGCAATAGTATGATCAGCTCCACAAACAACAGAAACAATTTGTTGAGCATCCAATGCACTAAGTTGAGTAGGCAAAAGTCTATCAACAGTATCACCATGACCTAATTGTCCATCTTCTCCCCTACCCCATGAGCAAACAACATTTCCAGCTGTAAAAAGGATCAAAATCAATCCATAACCACACAACTCAAAAACTAACAAAATCAATCCATTCCATTCAAAATAACAGAAATTTCATAATCAAAACAAATAAATCAAAAGGACACGTTCATAATTTAATATATAAAAGAAAGTTAGCTTACAGAGAAGAGCAACAGAGTGACTAGCACCAGCGGATATAAGAAGAACACGGCGAGGCGGAGGTGGTGGAGAAGCGGCGGTTGCGGCTTCAACCTCAACCTCCTGCATGATTGTCCTTTTTTTGAGTAAAGAAATGAACACTGAACACTACAAATTCAAAAAACACTTGAGAGAGAGAGAGAGTAATAATGGAAGAGAAGACAAAAGAAGAGAAATTTGGATGTGGACAGGTGGAAGGAAGAGAATGCAGTGAGCTTAGGTTAGGGAAGAGACTAGACGAGACGAGACAAGACGAGGAAGAGTTTTGAAATTTGTGTGTACCAATAAGAAAAGAGAGATAATAATTTCAGAAAAAATGGCATTGAATGCGGGTGGGGGGTCCATGCCAAACATTACCAACCATTTTTTTCTTCTTCTTCATCTCCTCTAACCAATTCCTCACCACCACTGTACACATCTTTCCTTTTCACTATTCTTTTCTTTGACATGAAGGGAAAGTTTTCACTTTTTCTTTTTCATGCATAATTTTCTGTCAGTGACTATTTGTTATTACTACTCACATGTCGGCAATAAAAATAGTGCGGAGTAGATTATAAACATAAATAAATTACTTGGTTAAATTGGTGGTAATAATTAAGAAAATTATTCTTAATTAATTATTTTTCTCAAATATATTTCTAATTATATTACATTTTTTATAATATATAAAAAATAAATATTCTTATATAAACATTAATAAATTTAATACTCTTAATAATTTAGAATAATTTTCTAAATTAACATAATTTACTTTATAAAATCTTATATTAATACGGATGTAGTAATAGTTTCATTAGACTATAAATATGAAAGGACATAAGAATTAATATAAATTTAAATATCAAAATCATATACTACCTCCAACCATACAACCCTTTGTACCCCACTTATAAGCAAGTCATGTGTTAATTTGTTTGAAAATAGATTTTTTATTTTATTTTGTTACTTTTAGTTATCTCTTGTTCTTTTTACATTAATTAAATAGCAATTAAATAGACTAATTACTATTTATTATATAGATCATATATATGGCAAATATTTATTAAAACTTAGTGAGAATTAAAAAAATTTAACACCATCAACATAAAAATAATAAAAACTATAATATACTAAAGTTATCTTTAATACTTAAAATTTTGAAAGATAATTTACTACTAACCTCATCACATTCGTCATCGAAATAATGTGATGCGATCGATGTAAGATTTTCATATTCTTCACTTCTGAGTCGGATGATAAATTTACTTTATTGTCATCTCATGCAATGTAGTCCTTTTTGAATTTTGTCTCTTCTCTACTTTTGAAGTCGCTCTTTTTGTTGAGTTTTGGACAACCGTCTTTATGTATCCTTGTTTTCCACATTCATGAAAAGTGACATTTTATGTTGAAGTGGAATCATCCTTTTTTCTGAAAAATTTCTTTTTTTGTTTACATAATTCAAATATTTTTTATTATTGGCAAAAATCTTATCAAGCCTTTTTACAAAGAGTATGGAGTTTTCATCTTCTTCTAGAGCATATTTTTCTTGTTCTTCTTTTGTGGCAACTTTCAAAGTAATGCACTTGGATTTTTTTCTCTTGATTCTTATGTTATTCTAGTCTTCCAAGTTCAAGTTCATGCTCTTTCGAACAAGGATGCAGATGTCATGGCAGAAAGACTTTTCTTTTCCGATATTGCCATTACCTTTGGTTGTCATTCTCTGCCTAAAGACCTAAACACTTTAATATTAAGATCATCGTTAGTAAAAGTCTTACCGAGAGCAAACGAGTGATTTTTCAAGTGTACAAATCTCATTTGTAATGTGATGGTTGATTCTCCGAGTTGCATTCTAAACAACTCATACTCTTGACTTGATGTATTCAATCTAGATCTATTTACTTCAGCGATTCCTTCATGAATTTCTACCAATGTATCCGATATTTGTTTTTTCATTTTACATTGAGAGACATCGAACAATTTGTCCATGCTACGTGCACTTTGAAGTATGTTGATTGTTTTCTTATCATAAAAGACTTTTTTCTTATCATCTTCATTCCATGAACTTTTAATCTTTGTTGTCCCAACACTGTTGACAACACTTGTAGGAACAAACAGACCATTCTCCACAGCGTCTCATACTTCTTCTCTTTGTTCTTCCAAGTGAGCCTTCATGCGAATTTTCTAAAAATCAAAGTATTTTCCGGAAAATAGTGGAGGTTTATTGTTGTTGTCGCCGTCTTTGAAAACTAGATCTTTAGAAACAGGTTACTAACCTACTCTGATAGCAATTGTAAGTATTAAGAGTTCCTAAGAGGGGGTGAATTAGGTATATAAAAACTTATCTGGTTTTTAGGATGGTGTATCTTTATTTTCTTGATATGGTAAGTGATGAAAGTTGTAAATGCAGAAAATAAAGAACACCAACAATATATCCTAATTCTCATCATAATCCAAGAGTACTTCAATCTCCTTATGCAGTAAGAGATTTTAATATTGTTAGATCTTTGTGGACAAGTCATTCCTAGTATTTTTATACATGACTCTAACCAAGTCACCAAGAACAATCCTCTCATGACTAACAACACAAAAAAAGAAAACAACTCTTTTCTTTTCTCACACCCTTATTTCCAACAATCCTGGATAATAAGTTCAAAACTCACACGATCTTATTTCCAACAATCCTGAAAAAATAAGATGTTGATATAATACAAGTAGTTTGTGTATATAGAAGTTTGATAATAATAAATCCTATTGAAGGACTTCTTCCCTTTCAAATATGAAACTTCATACTTGATATAAACCTGAGTGCTCAAGAACTTTGTCTTATGAAGATATGAAAATTGATATATATAGTTCTTGAAAGTTTATGACACGTATGTGCAGATAAAAAATTTGATCAGAAAAATATTGAATTTAAAAGAGGTGTGATGTAATAGATAAAAATGCATGTTATTTATATGTAGCTAATACCTCTTGATTCAAGATGCAACCCTTGAAATAATTATGATAAGGTATGCCATTTGAATGAAAATTTTGAGAAAGAGGTGCCATGAAAAGCTAAGTACGTAACATGATTTTTCTGAACCATTACAGTGACAATCAATTGTAGCATCAGTGTAATCGATTGCACATGTGAAAAAAATTTGAATTTTAAAACTATTAGAATCGATTGTACATTCGATGCAATCGATTGCAATTAGCAAAGTTTCTAAAAATAGAGGATTACAATTGATTGAATGTTCCATGCAATCAATTATAGCTGGGTAAAAATTAGTTTTTCACAGATGAAAATTTAGCAAATATTTTCTAAGTCCAAAAAACAAATGCATGATATGTATGTTATGCTATGACTTGATTAAGATGGTTTAAGCATATAAGATTTATACAAGGCATGATATACCATATTTTACCATCTTGTTGATCATCCATAACATAGTTAATTTGAGAAGATTCTTTTATGCACTTGATCGTGTCTTCATCATCTAGTAGTATTCATCAAAACATCTTTACGAAAGCTTGATTTTACAACTTCTGGTATACGCAAAAGGCGTTTGTCTACACCATGTTTGGACGAGGTAATAGTACTAGAGTGGCTACCCAAAGAGAGTTTTTTTTATGCATTTCATAGCCACAAATGGAATTATTAATGCCTTCGCCTTATCGGAAAATTATATAGGCAAGGTTTCTCCATTGGCTACCAGAGACATTTCAGTAGGGGTATGATTACCCAATTCGTCGAATACCTTAGTTTTGAATTTAATTTGGCCGATGATGTTATTCTGGAAAGAAATATTGAGTCTGACATGGAAGCCATTGTTCATTAAGAGATAATTTATATGGACGGAAACAACTATACAGTGATGGTCTGAAACAAGTCCTTTCTTTACTTGCCTAACCCAAGAAAGGTAAGAATTGATATTCCGAGTAATTGGATTTATCAAATGGGTGCACCCTCTCCGGATACCATGTCTGATGATAAGAGTGAACTCTACAATTCTAACCACCTTATAGGTACTGCTATGAAGGAAGATCTTGTTCTTCCACCCACACGTCCCACCCAACACGAAGTGGGCGCTTCGAATGTATATCACAAGGTGGGAGCGTGTCCGATCAAAGATCCAATGGATGATGACAGAGAAAAATATGCAAGGAATGGTCTTAGTTTCCATGCAAACTATGATTGAAAAACTTTTGTTGCGGTTCCCACCTCCAAAACGAGGTTCTTGTAACATACTCCTTATTTCTTGCGCTTAAACATTGAGGATAAAGTTTGGTTCAAGTTTGGGGGGGGGGGGGGGGGGGGGGGGGGGGTATCTATCAATAATTTATGTTTTTGTATTTTAGGTTTTTGTTTCTTGAAATTTTATGTTTTGTTTATTCCTTATGTTAATAATTTTCTAATTCGAATGATGCATTAAGACCACCTTTTCGTAGTTTTCCTAAAGCTAAGACCATGACTTTTTTTTGACAATCTTCGGTTGTGGGGAAGATGAGAAAGTATATAGAGTTTGAGGAAATAGAGGTTATGACTAGGGGCATTGGAAAAGTTTGAAAAATTTGGTTTGACCCATACATTTTAGGTCCCCCAGAGTATGGACACGAGTTCAATGTGTAGATTTGTGCCATAGTACTTGGCTTTAAATAATTCCCTATTAGTTTATATTGACGGTCCAATATAAATTAAGACTTGCATGTGTGTGTGATCAGTTGAGAAACAAATAATTTGGGCACCAAAATGATTAAAAGGAAATAAAGACAACAAGACTTTCTAAGTTAGGTAACCCTCACCCAGTTACTTAGCCTAATAGCGGTTGATTCTTAAATGTTATCCCAAAGAGAACCAATAAACACCAAAGAGCGTAAATTCATCAAAAAATAACAAAATAACAAAAACGTGCCTAGAAAAAAATTCTCGATCAATCTTGTGCATTTGAGGACATCAATAATTGCAAAATGCTTTAATATGATTGCTCGAACAAAAAGGGAAGAAAATAAAAAAAAAAGATACTTAAGCCCAAAGTATAGTTTGAGAGGTGTCCAAACGGGAGACTTAGGCATGTGGTTTTACTGCGGTTAATGTTCTTGAAATA